CTGAAAATTCTGATTGGTTTTACAGACAGCGCTCAGGAGCTGGAGTCATCCTGGATCCCGTGCGCATGTGCCCTGGCCTCCGTGACTTTGACAGATCCCGCCCAGTTGTTCGACTGGTTTTGTGCCAGCCCTTGTTAAGACCAGTGGCCTGTCCCAGAGGGAGCGCACCAGGCCCTTCTGTCCCTCTGCCTTCTGTCTCTTGAGGACACTGCAGCTGGACATCCTCTGGGCACGGCTGTGGGCCTTTGCCTCTGTCCCAGGATCCAACCACCCCTCTACTTGGGATGGGAGGTCGCAGCGCATTTGGCCCAGTGCACGGTTCTCCAGGAGCGAGCCACAGGGTGATTCATGATATCGTTACAGTTACTGGTGTCTCCAGAAAACCAGTTAATACCAGCAGCTATGACGCCTTAGCTACAGTGGTAGACTCAGTATCAATTGCAGCATCAAAGACAAACAATATTGACAAACCCTAAGGACCAATAACATACCATCTTTGACCACAGAGAAAGATGTGTAATTATAGTATGAACCGGAAGAAAACAAAATAGTGACCTATAGTAAATACTACTAAATGGAACAATTTTGCTTCTACTACCAAGAGAACAGTATTAACATTCGTAGTGCAAAGTTAATTCGCTACCTAGAGAGTCACAGTGCTCAGCAGGCATGCCAGTGACCGGACAGGGCATGGGAGCCAGAGAGTGAAAAAGGGAAAATGTGAAGAAGTAATCAGTGGGACAGGAGAGAGGGGAGAGAACACGACTTGGGGGCCAGTGAGAGGTGAAGGAAATTAATAATGTTGGAAAGAAAAAACAAGGAAAAGAAAATAGCAAATCCAGGAAATAAAAGACAGATAAGAAGGAAGAAAAAAAATGAAAGGGAAAAAGACAAAAAGAGAAAAAAAAAGAAAGAGAAAAAAAAGTGCCCTAAAATGGAAAAAAACCCTCAACCTCTCAAAAAAAATTTGATGAAGGACAGAAGAAAAATTAAAAATTTTAAAATTTTTAAAAAGTCAAAAACTCAACTTTTTTTTTTTGGAATGAGTGGTTTCTGTCCAGGGTCGGCAGTCTTGGAATCCAGCTAGTTATGATTTTCTTCCCCTAGTTTTGGGTCCTTTTTGAGGTGCCCTCCCCGCCCCAGAGGCCCCTCTGCCCGTGCACCCCCACCGTGGTTGTGCGCAGGTCCTCGCTCACAAACTAGCGGACGGGACCGGTCCTCTGGTTTCTGCTGGACGCAGTCCCCGCTGTCGGGGTGCAGGTGGCCCCTTGGACTTCATGTTGACACCCTCTAGGTCTGGTCGCTCCGCGCGAAGGACAGGCCCGCTCGCCCGGCAGCGGCCTCCTGCGTGCGTCTCTCAGCTCGTCTCTGAGCGGGCGGTAACACGGGGCCTGCGGGGCCCATACTTCCCCTGCGGCTCTGCTGGCTGCTGGCTTCTCCCCGCGGGCGTCGTCCTCACCCGGGAGCAGGTTGGCTGGTTCGTCTGATCCTCTCTCTTGCACTGGGGGTGCTGTGTGGCCCGTGCAGCGCTGCTTGCCTGCACCCTTATTTTTTAACCAAACATGAAATCGGAGGCCCTGACCACCCTATTTACTTCGCTCAGTGTCGGTTAACATAACCTCTGCCCTGTTCTTTGGCCCTGGGCTTAGCCAGTGGTTTCCGCCCTCATCAGGGAATTCTTGTGATTCTTTAGTGAAGCCCGAGTGTTTTCCATCTTAAATACTGAGATATTTATAACTGTTCTTAATGAATAGTTTTCTTTTTGCTTTTGTTGACATTAGTGGACTATGATCCATTGTATTTTCAATTGCCTGGATCACACAAGAATTGAATTTCAGTTATGTTAAGTTCTTTGTTGTTCAGTACAACACCAAGAGAATCTCACTTTGGGGTCAAGAGTACAAAAAGAACTATTACGCAATGTCTGCTTCTCTTTCAAGTAGGAAACATGTAGAAATTTAGAGGACACACTTAGCATACTTGGGAATCAAACGTCTTAGGATACAAATATAAGAAGTTTTCACGTGGTTTTCTATTTGCTTGGTTTTTGGTTATCCATGAAAACGTATGTTGAGCTCAGGGGCCCAAGGCTATAACAAAATTTGGGTAGAAGCTGGTGGAAGTAGGAGCCGTCCAGATCCTGCTCCCCGGCTCTGACGCCTGGCCCTGCCTGCGGGCTTGTGCTTTCCTGGACAGCTCCCCCGTTTTATCCAGCCAGGGCACAAGCTGTTCCCTTAGGCCGAAATACTGCTTAGTCACCCTCTGGAATTTAGCTCAGCGGTCACTTCCACGAAGCCTGTGATCCCCACCCGTGTGGGTGGGCTTAGACTGTCCCGGCACCGTGTACTTTTTCCTCAGAGATTATATCTCATTTGCCCTATGAGTGCAGGGACCGTGTCGAACTTATTCAGAGCTCTTCCAAGTACTACAAGCAGACTACATAGTAGGTTCCCAGTAAACAGTATGTGTCAGTTAAATAAAACGTGGGGGTGACAGAGCAGTGGCTAGGTGTGCAGCTCTGAGGCAGAGCCCTTGATTAGCCTGCATGAGGCTTAAGGGCTCAGGGTTCAATTCTAAGCACCATCAAAAAAAAAAAAAAATTGTTGAATAAAGTCAGCTTTATTGAGTGCCAGGCATATCACCACGTTACGACTTCTCACTACAACCCATTGGGTAGATATTATCCCCATTTACAGATAGGGAAAACTGAGGTTAGAGAAGTAATTTGCCCAAGATCACAGAGCAGACAAATGACACTGTAGAAACTGAAAAATTCTACCACCATTCTTCTAGGGTCCTGATTCTGTCTGAGAATTAAACTGACGTACATTAATAAGGGAAAAGCATACTATAAGGGGAATCCCTCAAAAAGAAATTGAGACCCAAAGAAGCAGTTAGTATCTGTTGACTTGCCCTGAACTGGACAGCACGGTAAACTGAAAATGCGCAAAGACATGAGCGAGGGTGGTTAATGGGGTAGAGGAACGGCGGCTAAGTCAAGGGTTAGTTCAACAACGCTTGTGTGGGAATGCTGTCTCCCACTTTTGAGCAACAGCAGAGAGGTCAAAGAAGTCTCACACCTGCTGTATTCTGAGTAATTCTAGCTTGATATGCCAGAATAGTGTGGTTCGACCCTTTCAGCACAGCAAGGACTCCATCCGGGTCATACACATGCCAGAGCCAGGGCTTCCTTTGTCTTTTCTTTTCCCTGTGACACCCCACACGTCTCAGCATTACATTACCTTCCGTAGAGAGATTCGCTGTGTGCCTCCTCAGCATCCACTCCACACTCATCTCAGTCACAGGCCTGTCTCCACTAGGAAGATATGAGCCTGGAGGAGTGGTGCGAGTCTGTAATCCCAGCACTCAGGAGGCTGAGGCAGGAGGATCACTACGAGTTTGAGCCCAGCTGCCGCTACATAGCAAGTTCAAGGTCAGCCTGGACTACATAGCGAGACCCTGTCTAAAAAGAAAACAAGGGGCTGGGGATTTAGCTCAGCGGCAAAAGTGCCTGTCTGGCAAGCGCAAGGTCGTGAGTTCGGTTCCCGGTCCCGGAGAAAAACCAAAAAAAATAAATAAATAAAGAAAAAGAAAAAGAAAACAAAAAACCCCAGGAAGGTGTACGCTCCCTTTGTCAGTCCACATGCTCTGCGTGTGCTCAGCCCCAGGGAGAAGCTCTGACCTATGGTGAGCCCAGCCCCACAATCCATCCTACCGCCTGTGACTTAGTATTGTCAGTTGGGGCCAATTTGTGCTCATCAGGCCTTCAGCTGGAGTTTCTGTGAAAGCAGGTTTGCTCTTTCCGACTGGACTTGGGCCCTGAAAGCACAAAGACTGCAATGTCTTCTGCCAACTTGTTAACCATTAACAGGACAAAGGAGGTGGGCAGAGAGGACCCTGCAGGCCTGGCTCCTGGTAACACTTCCTGAGCCCTGCTGCAGCTACAGCTGCACCTGCGGCTTCCGGCCCTTGTGCTTTCACCAGTTTGAGGCTGTAAAGTCCTTTTTCAGCTTAAGCCTCTTTGGATGAGAGTTTGTTGTTTGCAATCAATGGAATTCTGACCGACACAGGGTGTGAAAGGTGGTGGACAGATTTCCCCACCCGCCTTCTGTCTTGTTTCACGTCTTTAGTCATTTCATGGGGCTCTTAGAATAACTACGTATGTGTCGTCTGGGGCTGAGAATGGCCAGAGTTAGAAGATAATATGGCAGCAACGTTTATCAAAGCAGGTACTGTGGCTTAGGGACTCAGGGTTTGTAGAATAATTATAAGAAAATCATTGCCAGGCGTGGTGGCGCACGCCTGTAATCCCAGCACTCAGGAGGCTGAAGCAGGAGGATCATTTCAAGTTTGAGACCAGCCTGGGCTACAAAGTGAGCTCAAGGCCAGCCTGAACTGCATAGCGAGACCCTGTCTCAAAAAGACAAGAATAATAATAATAATAATAACTTATTAATATCTCTGTCCTTCAGTGTTTTCTAATCAAAAGTCAAGGTGAAAAAAAGAAAAGTCAAGGTGAAATTTGCCACATCACTTAGAGAGGATGGAATTAGTAAGGACTTGCCCCGTGCGTTGTACTACCTTCCGGGGTGATAACATTTCACCTGTAGTTTTGCAGGTCTCTCAGTCACTAGATCTACCTTCCCAATAGTGAAGTGGGTAGATGAAGGCGTTTCCTGCTTTTAGGAGACCGCAGAGGAAGGAGATTCACGTTCCAGAGCTCAGGAGACCTGAGGGAAGGACCCGCCCTCACTGTACCGAAGCTGTATGTTCAGGAGGTAGAGCAGAGAGCTTCCTGTCTTCTTGCTTTGTACGTTGCACTTCGCATTTAAACGTTTCAAAACCCATCATGATCCTTCCAGTGTTGCTTTTTCTAAAATCTACTTAGCTGTGTTTATACTCACCTAGCTGTAGGAAGAAAAATCTGTAAGTTTAGCTTAATTTTTAAAAACGAACGAGTGGCCTCTCAGAGACATTTTTAAAAAATGAAACCAAGCTGAAAAAGATATCAACTATTTCATTTATTTCCATTCCTAAAATGAATGTGAATGTATTGTTGACTTGACATTTAAAATAGTACTTTCTCAAAATAATCTCAGAAAATATGTTTGTTAAACTACATGCAAACTACTGGTGAAGATCCTATTAAATCCTCCGAATGAACAGCCTGTCACTTCTTTGCAAAAGCACTTGTGATGGTTTTTATGGTTTCCATAACTGCAAACAACAAAGAAATCATGTGGGACAAGAATAGAATTTGATATGAGTAACCCAAAATATACCTTCCTCCTTCGTTAGAGATTCACGGACTGATTTTTTTAAGGGTTCTTACATAGTGTGCCTAATTATACAAGCTTTTCCTAATCACAAGGGCCTGTAACCTATTACAACCTATCCCTTGCCTGTAACCTATTACAATTCAGTAAAGTACGTGCTAGGTAATAAGGAAAACGAACTTGAGAACCTGAACTTCCTCGTGTAGCTCTGTGGTTATACTAATATGTGTCAATATTGCCTTTATCTTAAGTATTAAGGGCTGGAATGCAGGAAAACAAACTGGCGGAGCCCTGGAATGAAAGACATGAGGCCGGGCCGAGAAACACGCAGCGGGTTAAAAACCAAAGCAGTGACACTGAGAATAACAAATAGGTTCAGATTTCTTTCCTGGAAACTGGTGCTATTTCAACTTGGATTTTCAATAAGCCTGTATTTTGTTCGGCTTGTGAATTATCAAGGTTTTTTTCCCTGCTCCCTTGTCAAAGTCTTATTTTGCAGTGATTTCACTGCTTTGTAGTGCCAAGCTCTGAAAGAGATGGTGAAATTAAAACTTGATGGGTAACAATTCAAATGAGATAGGCTCGGGGCTGGGGATTTAGCTCAGCGGCA